GCCCATTCCATTGTTCCAGTCTACCAAACTCATAGCTATTTCACTAGTATTCCTTCTATTCTGTTGACTGAGTACAAGAAACTGCCGATTTATCTATTTCGCTTACCCATTAAAGTGGCCAGAAATCAGTAATTTCGCCAATTTCAAAATAAGATCAAGAATGTAGACATTCCTGGCACTAAAATAAATTTTCTCTGTTCATTAGTCACGTCTCCAGGCCCCTCTTATATTACGCTTGCTTTCCATTTTGAATTTTTATTCACACAAAAAACAGAAGATTTACTGTTATGCAGACTACTGCATTATTGTAATACAATTGTATAATGTCAACCCATTCATGACTGTGTATTAGACCATCCAGTTGGACACATTAGACACTGCTGAACATCAGCAAAAATCAAACATTTCCACTTTGAGCTCAATTTCAAGGTTCCTTCATGAAACCAGTCAAAATTACATCTATTTCTGTAAAATATCTCCCATTCCATCATATGAGACCCCCAAAAAATGAGAATACCACCATAAAAACCATACAAAAATATACCGTAAAGTCACTGTTTTACAAAAAAACATGGTTGCATTGTTTCTCATTATGCACTGCGTGCTGCAGGATATTTATTATATAGTGCACACTTACCACACAGACCTATTCTCTCACATATAGGCCTAAATTTATCAGTCACAGCTTATCTAAGTAAGCTGAGCTCATGGCGACCAACAGTGGCTTCAAAGCCTCCTTATCTTTAATTGGCAATGTATGGTGTATGCACTTTACACAATGAGAAGTATTTCTTTTATTCATTGGAACCATGGCTAGAGCTAAAAGTGTGCAGGTTATAACAATAAATGGAGAAAAACAAATTGGAATGACTTATGCAGCAAGTAGTGCCACCAAACAGTAGTGGCAGGTTGGTGTGGCGACCCCGGAAATTTTAAATTATGTTAGCCAAAACTAGTGCCGGATTACTGATTGCCGGATTAGTGATGGCTGACCTGTAGTAGCAGTACAGATCAACCATCACTAATCTGGCATCATTGGGACCTGTTGTGTGCTGGATTAGTGATTTTGCCAGATCTGTGATCTGTCAAGAACAACATTATTTTAGCTAGCGTAATTGGAAATTACACTAGCCAGAGTTATTGCCAGATTAGTGATGGAACCGGACTAGTGACTGCCAGATCAGTGATGGCTGACCTGTATTACAGAAAAGTAATAGTAAGAATTATTCTAAATTATTATTGGTTTGGTGTAAATTATTTTATAAAATGTCAGCTGGTCTCTCATATGTATGTATGTATATAAACCATGCACATCATAAGAGGCAACTAAAATGCCAGGAGCAAGAGGCCAGTAACCCCTTCTGTATAAATTACTGTATGTAAAAAAGAAAACTTTTATTTATTCTTTTTTGGGTCACCCTGGCTTAGTGGGAGATGTATATATGCAGCCTCTCCTCACTTAGTGATATACTCATTTACTGATGACTCGGACTTACGACGGGCTCTCTGACCAGTTTGCATACCTAAATAATGTACAGTATAGGGCCCCACTTATATGGCAGGTTAGGTTCCAGGCTACCGCCGTAAAGTGGAACACTTTTTTTTTTTTTTACTTATAAATGCTAGATAACCAGCTTACACTAACATATATTAAGTTAGCAATTTACTAGGCATTAAAACACACAATAAAAATAAATACAGCCTCTCCTCACTTAGCGATGTACTCATTTACTGATGCCCCTGACTTACGATGGGCTCTCTGACCAGTATTTATACCTAAATAATATATATTAGAGCTGATTTCCTCTATTCTGTTTATTTCAATATACAGTACACTACTGTACAAACATTTAAAAATAGTATACCAGAAATGTTATAAATGGTGCAAAGGCGAACATTAAAACAATATCAAAGATGGTTGATGCAAACCCACTATCATTACAGTATGCTCCTCACTTACCGACAAATTGTTTACTGACGTGGTCTTAGGAATGGAACTCCGTCGTTAAGTAAGGAGAGGCTGTACACATACAGTACACTTGTTACTTACCTTAAAATATTAATATGAATGTGTGAAAGGTGAGTGGCAGTGTAAAAGTTTTTCCCTGTCAGTAGTAAATCACTCTGACTTTTTTGGGTTATCTTAGGTTCTGTACACATATGCTGCTATATATAACTAAGTTTTTTCAGGTATACACAAATATAGTTACATAGATTATTGTACATAGTAGCATATGTGTAGAGAGTCTAGGATAACCCAAAAAAGTCAGTTCACTAAGTTTAATCATTTCTAACTTGGCACTTAAAATAAGAGGCTTATGACTCTTCTTTTTATCACAACTAAGCTTAGATGCCATCGTCAATGAGGGCCAACTAGTTAACGAAATAGTAAATGAGAGAGGACGAGATACATGGAGTTCAGAGAGTGTAAAAACACAGACTGAACGGGTGGCGGGCGATCACTCACCTGCCACCCGCTCACTCCATGTCATTCTACTTTGATCCATTCTTTCTAAATGACCAAACCACCTCAACAACCCCTCTGCAGCCCTATGACTAATATTTTTATTAACTCCACACCTTCTAATTTCCACACCGAATTCTCTGCATAATATTTACACCACACATTGCCCTTAGACAGGCCATCTCCACTGCCTCTAACCGCCTCCTCGCTGCAGCATTTACAACCCAAGCTTCACACCCATATAAGAGTGTTGGTACCACTATACTTTCATACATTCCCTTCTTTACCTCCATTGTTAACGTTTTTTTGTCTCCACATATACCTCAAAGCACCACTCACCTTTTTTTCCTCATCAATTCTATGCTTAACCTCATCCTTCATAAACCCATCTGCTGACACATCAACTCCCAAATATCGGAAAACATTCACTTCTTCCATACTCCTTCTCTCCAATGTGATATCCAATTTTTCTTTATCTAAATTATTTGATACCCTCATCACCTTACTCTTATCTATGTTCACTTTCAACTTTCTACCTTTACACACTCTAACTCGTCCACTAACCTTTGCAACTTTTCTTTAGAATCACCCATAAGCACAGTATCATCAGCAAAAAGTAACTGTGTCAACTCCCATACATTGTATATTATACGTATATTATAAAATATTAATTACAATTTGTGGTTTACATATTATAAAATATGAATTACAAAGAAGGCCATTAGCATGCCTAGGCATTTCGGGCAGACTACTACTAAAAATGTTATAAATGGTGCAAAGGTGACATTAAAACAATATCAAATATGGTTGACACAAACCCACTACATTATAGTATGCTCCTTGTTTAGTGACAAATTTGTTTACTAACGTGGTCTTAGGAACAGAACTCCGTCGTTAAGTGAGGAGAGGCTGTATACATACATGCAGTAGGCCCTCCAAATCCGCATCCATGGATTCAACCAACCATGGATCAAAAATATAAAAAAAAAATCAGAAAGTTCCAAAAAGCCAAATTTGAATTTGCCATGTGCCAAGCACAACAGCCTCAAGAACTTGAAGATCACAAGAGAATCGGCATCAGCCGATGCTGATTCAGCATCAGCCTTCCAGAAGAGCTCAAGAAACTCATAAAAGAGAAAGGCTACCTTCTAGAGCAAGTCTTCAATTCTGATGAAACAGGCTTGTTATTGAAGAAAATGCCCAGTCATACCTAAATCCATAAGAGTGCCAAACAGGCCCTGGGGTTCAAGGCTTGGAAATCACCTTACTCTGGTGTTGTGTGGCAATGCAGCAAGTCAAATGATCAAGCCAGGCCTCGTCTACCAAGCAAACAATCCCCGAGCTCTTAAGAACAAGAACAAAAATTGCCTGCCTATGTTCTGGCAACATATAGAAGAGCACAGAGAAACCCTTACCAATGAGGAACTTAAAGATCTGCTGAAATTCTCTACAGAAGATGATGATAAAGAAGATTTAGGAGGCAGAGTCATCAGTTTGGACACTTGAAAAGTTTGCAGCAGATTTTTTCAACAGGCATAAGTGTTAAAGGATATGATTCTTGAGTACGATCCTTCGATGGAACAAAACCTCCATGTCACCCGAGGGATAACAACATGCCTACAACCACTGCAAGATTAGTTTGATGATGCAAAGAAAAACAGAAACAGCTTCCTAATACAAAGTTTCTAATTAAAACATCTGCAATTGTGAAGCCTCAACCTTCAATATTTGAAGATCCTTAACCCTCAACCTCCACAGATTCTTACATTAGTATTATTGAGCCTCTAAAGCATCAACATCTGCAATTGGAACCTGGTTTTTCTGACGTAGATGATCCTTCTGACGTCCTGTCAGAAGGTTCAAGTTAGCCTGATGTCTCACTTCTTATCTACAGTGCTACACATCTCTTCGCCTCATCACATCAACATTTCAGCAATCGTCATCATCATCATCATACAAGAGTTACTAAGAGAGATGAGCCTGAGTTTTGGCGAGTGTCATCATTATTCCCTAAAAATGCAATATAACAACTATTTACATAGCATTTATATTGTATTAGGTATTATAAGGACATGTATTCTAGAGATGATTTAAAGTGTAAAGGAGCATGCGCATAGGTTATATGCCAATACTACACCACCAGCAAGCATGTGTGAGCATGTTAGATAGAAGTGGATGGAGATGAATGGTTTTTGGGACCTGACAAGCTGGAGTATGAGCAGGGTAATATTCTCTGAAGGGATTCATGGAAACCAGTTAGCCGGACTTGAGTCCTGGAGGTGGGAAGTACAATGCCTGCACTTTAAAAGAGGGGTTTGGGATATTGGCTGTTTGATGTGACATCTAAATTGTTATATCTAGACACTTCTGCAAAGACACTGATTATATGTAAATGATGGTGAAAGTGTTTCTTTTTTGGGTCACCCTGCTTCAGCCATTTTATATAAGGGACTTGAACATGTATATAAATAAATAAACTTCTCTTCTCAGCATGAGGGGACCCACATTGATTCTGACACTAGATAAGCAGTATTACCTGGTGGTTGGTGTCACCATTGGTCAGACCACTAGTGATAAGTGTGCAGTGCTCCAGGAAGTGGTTGAGCTTCTCTAGTGCCTGGTCTAGTTTGGAGGGATCTTGGTTCACTGCCTTGATGTAGAAACAAAACTTGGAGAAGAAGTCCTTCGTGGCAAGGTCTGCCTCAGGGCTGTTGTACTCTAGGCCACCTCCAGGAAAACTGCCACAAAATATAAGAAAATATATAAAAATATAGTAAATTAGTATGTTTAGTTATATACAGGTACACATAAATACAATTACCATACATAGTAACATATGTGTAAATTATCTAGGATAACCCAAAAAAGGTCAGTGACTTCCGTTGGGATCCTTGTAATCCAAGAATACTAGATGATGGGTTCAGATCCTGGTATTTGACTTAATATATATATATATATATGTGTGTGTGTGTGTGTGTGTGTGTGTGTGTGTGTGTGTGTGTGTGTGTGTGTGTGTGTGTGTGTGTGTGTTTCAAATAAGATGATTCTAAAAATGATCCAGCATCGAAGAATCAAACATAACTAAGAGAGCCACTTTATACCTATTAATGTGTATGCAACATTTAAGTCTATGAAAAAATGACATCATATGATCTGTACTGGTCTGTCACATTTTTATAAATACAGTGGAACCCCGGATTTCGTCCACTGCAGATATCGTACAATTCAGATTTCAACCACTTTTTTGGGTGAAATTTTACCCCGTGTTTTGTACCTCCACTCGGAAATCGTCCGTATCAGACGTATCTGCCTGCCCAGGATGCAGCTGCTCACTCAGTCTACCTCTGTCACTTATTCAGTGAACAATACTCTGTGTGTTCATCCGAAACATTTCATAATAATCAATTGTTTTTTTGTGCTTGTTTATTGAGTACGACTGTGAAATAAGCCACCATGGGGCCAAAAGAAAGTTCCTAGTGCCACCCTGACCCTGACAACCCTTCGCCTATTGTGGAATGTATTGTGTCTTTGGGGAAGTCCATGGGGTTGGATGTGAGTGGGCAGGATGTGGAAGAGTTGGTGGAGGACCAAAGGGAAGAGCTAACCACTGAAGAGCTACAACACCTTCATCTGGAACAGCAACAGATTGCAGCTGAGGAAATTGCTTCAGAGGAGGAGGAAGTGAGAGGGGAGAATATGCATTCTTCAGTGATTAAGGACATTTGTGCAAAGTGGTATGAGGTGCAAAGGTATGTAATAGTGATTTAAATGTTCACAGATCCTTTGAAATTAGCCATTTATATTTATTTCTCATTTTTTTTGTATGTAAAACTATATTTATTCTCTATAAAATGTATTTTTGTTAATTTTTTGGGGAGTCTGGAACAGATTAATTGGACTTACATTATTTCTTATGGGAAATATTACTTTGGTTTTCATCCATTTCAGATTTCGACTGACCTTCTGGAACAGATTAAGGACGAAAACTGGGGTTCCACGGTATAACGTGACCCTTGTGGATTTAGAAGTTAGTTTTGATTATAATAATGTGAATATAATACTTGGAAGGGGTTTCAGGGGTCAGTGCCCCCAGTATAATAATAATAATTATAGGAATGTAATTAATGTTTGGCTTGAAACAATAATTATGATGGTTAATATGATTGATTCTAAATTGTTGTGCAAAATATTTTTGTTTATTAAACTGTGTTTGTATGTAGAAGTGAAGGGGGTGGTGATATTTTATTTGTCAGGAAGCGGATCACAGTGAAGTGTTTCCCAAAATGCTGGTCCTAACCCTTTGAGGGTGAAGATCCCCCGATCCTTAACTCACTCTCAGTGTCGAAAATTTAAAAAAAAAAAAAAGAATTTTTTCTTATGAAATGATAGAGAATCTTTTCCCGATGATGGTAATGACACCAAAAGTAGGAAATTTGATGGAAAACTTATGCGATTACTCTCTAGCGAAGTTACCGATATCAGCGATATTTACACAATCAGTTTTTTTTTTTTTATTCGCCGGTATTCTCCCGGCCCGGGTCTTTTCCAAGTAGTGGTGACCCGGCCTTGGCTCCCTATCTGGGGAGTGTCTCGAGACCTAAGTCTCCCATGGGAGGAGGTACAAGTACCCCCTCATCTTTGGAACCAACTGTCCCCAGACCTAGCCACAGTCCCTGCCCTCACGGGGCTCGTAGGGAGAAGCTAGGCCTCTGGTCTGCCATCTGCCCCGCCCCAAAGGGGCTCGTGGGGATGCCAGTCTTGAACTACACATCAGTGATTTTACCCACTTTGTCCCCTATTTACAGCCAATTCCAATGTTCCAATCGATTAAAATCAATCATAGCTATTTCGCTAGAACTCCATTTGTTCTATCAATTGAGTACAAGAAACTACCCATTTACCGATTTCAACTACCCAATAAAGTGGTCAGAAATTGGCAATTTGGCCAATTTCAACCAAATTTCAAAAGATGCCAATTTCAAAACAGGGTCCAAAATAAACAAGACAGATATTCATGGCACTAAAATAACATTTTCTCTGTTCACTAGTCACATCTCCAGGCCCCTCTTGTATTACTCTTGCTTTCCATTTTGAATTTTTATTCTCACAAAAAATAGAATATTTACTGTTACACAGACTACTGCATTATTGTAAAAATGGTATAAATAATATCAGCATACTTGTGAAAGAATATTAGACTCACCAGTTGACGTGTATTGGACGCATGGCATGATTTGTTTACTCTTGAACATCGGTAAAAATCAAACATTTCCGCTACTTTGAGCTCAACTTCAAGGTACTTTTCATCAAGAAACCAGTCAAAATCATCACTATGTCTGTAATATATCTTCCATTCTATCAAATGAGAACAAGAAAACGAGAATACAACCATAAATACCATATGAAAATACACTACAAAATCATTGTTTTTAACCAAAAACACAGTCATAGTTTTTTTCTCATGCACTGTGTGCTGCAGGATTTTTTTTTATACTGTGCACACTGACCATGCAGATCCAGTCTTTCATATGTAGGCCTACCAGCTTTCTTCCACCAGATTTTAAGGCGCTAGAATTTTGGCGTATAAATATGGGACCAACAGTGGCTATCAAGCCATACATATTCAGGACCGACCCTGAAAGGGTTAAAGTTATATGAATATGATGACCTAATAACTGGAGTTATTAGTGGTAGGACAGAGACCTTTCCTAGAAAAAGTAGAGAAAATGGGTTAAAAAAAATGAGCCCACTTTTCAACCAAAGATGCAGAGAAAGAAGTGAAAGAGCATTGAAAGCAATTGAAAGAGGAAATAAGAGAAGTGAGCAGAAGAGCCAGAAAGAAAGAACTCGCATTGCTGATGAATGAAACACCTGTGATGGGTATTGCATACACGAGGGGCCCACTTAACGGCACTTCACTTTACAGTGTTTCGCTAATGCAGCAGTTTTTCAATTATACCCATTCTTCATTTATTCAGACTTCCTACAGTAATTATATTCACCACTCACTAAGAGCTAAGAACGAAAATGTTTTAAGGTATGCTCTTTGTGAGCATACCTTAGCATTTTGTAGTCCTAGCTTTACTGCTCAATTAATATGATAGTGTAAACATGTTATCAAGCTTTTATATGCATTTGAAAGTGAAATAATGCTATGTTTCACTTTACAGCAGTAGCTAGGAACCTAACCTGCTGTATAAGCAGGGCCCTCCTGTACCATTAATGTGTCTATTCAATCACTTCATAAAACTGAAGATCATTAAGTCAGGTTGATATAAAATCATACTCCTGAAATTGTATCATTTGTTCACTAGCTACCTTTCTTATTACACACAGGACTGTAGTTAACTTCATAAGAACTATTTATTAGTCTGTCTAAATCTTAAGTAACTTTTAAGCATTAGGATTAGTTAGCCCAAAATGCCTTGCATATTAATGCTTTTGTGCCTACCAATGTTGTCTTACATATAAACTACACTATTTGTACCACATAAAAAAAAAAAATTGTATTTGTAATGCAGTGCAACTCACTTTGTGTCGAGATAATGAATAATGTCATCAAGAGCATCATAGCCATCATCTCCATGGATGAGTGCCGGGACATGCTTCAAACCCAAGACTTTAAATTCTGGTGGAGGCTTTGCTGGATTAACTGTGATTACCTGAGTGATAAAACCATGAGAGAATTGTTATATATGCTTATTAAATAGCAGTGTTGGGTATGAAGGTGGAAGATATGTTGATATCATTAATATGGATGAAAGGACACACTTAAGTGTATGTATACACTAAGCTCTCAGGGCTGAAATGCATCCAATAAAGATGACCTTAACCTATGCACCTGTGTCCTTTACTCAGTATACTCGATATGCAAATTTGATCAGTAATAAAACTCATAAAAAAAGAACATTTAGTGCTTAGTTTTGATTATAATAATAATTATAAAAAGTACACTACATAATGTAATTAACTACAGTAGAATAACATCAATTATTAAAGTGCAGTAAATAATAATAATAATGGTAACATAATAATTGAAGAGGCAATGTCAGTACCTGAAATTTAATAACCAAAATTTACATTTAAAAAATTATGACTGTAAAAAAAAAATATATCTACTGGTCATTCTCTACATTGCTAGTTTGTTATCTTGTCATTCCCTACAAAACAAGTCAAATGTATATTGTTTACTTTGCCCTCATCATGAGGTCCTCTTCAGCAGAATAAAATCCAAGGCCAAAATATATAGTATACACCTACCATCCGACTTACGACCGAGTTCAGTTCCGAGAAACCGGTCGTAAGTCGAAATGGTTGTAAGTCGAACTTTACTACTGAATATCAACAAAACATTTTTGTAATGACTTTATTTTATTGTTTTATTTTGGTATTTCATGTTTTACTTTACTCTTTATGTTGTTAGTACTGTATTTTATACTGTAAGGTTTAGGATAAACACTGTGTACAACACAAATAGTTGTTTATTTCCCAGAAATTTGGCATAAAAAACACGGTCATAAGTCGAGTGGTCGTAAGTCGAGCAGGTCGTAAGTCGGATGGTAGGTGTAGTTATTTAAATTGCTGCTTTACTGTCTCCAGATGTGGTTGGTTCATGCCACATAGAACAATCATGAACAATAAGGAAACTGCTAATGAGAGAATATATGCAAATGTGCAAACCTGATGAAGATATATGTGCAGTACTTGACAAATAAGAAATATATGCAACACTCGATGAATAAGATACATGTTCAACACTTCATGAATAAGAAATATGCACAGCACTTGATGAATAAGAAATAAGCGCAACACATGATGAATAAGAAATATGTGCTATACTTGATGAAGAAGAAATATGTGCAGCACTTGATGAATAATATGCATGTATGACACTTGATGAATAAGATACATGGAGTATACCTGGAGAGGGTTTCGGGGGTCAACACCCCCGTGGCCCAGTCTGTGACCAGGCTTCATGGTGGATCAGGGTCTGATCAACCAGGCTGTTATTGCTGGCCACAGGCAAACCGACATACAAACCACAGCCTGTCTGCTCAGGTACTGACTTTAGGTGCCTGTCTAGCACCTTCTTGAAGACAGCCAGGGGTCTATTGGTAATCCCCCGTATGTATGCTGGGAGGCAGTTGAACAGTCTTGGGCCCCTGACACCTACTGTGTTGTCTCTTATCATGCTAGTTGCCCCCCTGCTTTTCATTGGGGCCATGTTGCATCGTCTGCCAAGTCTTTTGCTTTCATAGGGAGTGATTTTTGTGTGCAAATTTAGTACCAATCCCTCTAGGATTTTTCAAGTGTATATAATCACGTATCTCTCCCACCTGCATTCTAGGGAGTACAGGTTGAGGAACTTCAAGTATTCCCAGTAACTGAGGTGTTTTGTCACACTTATGTGTGCCATGAAAGTTCTCAGTACCTTTCCCAGGTCAGCAATTTCACCTGCCTTGAAAAGTGCTGTTAGTGTGCAGCAATATTCCAGCCTAGATAGAACAAGCGACCTGAAGAGTGTCTTCATGGGCTTGGCATCCCTAGTTTTGAAGGTCCTCGGTATCCATCCTGTCACTTTTCTATCAGATGTGATTGATACAATGCTGTGGTCTTTGAAAGTGAGATCCTCTGACATTATCACTCCCAGGTCTTTTACATTAGTTTTTCTCTCTATTGTGTGGTTGGAATTTGCTTTATACTCCAATATAGTTTTAATTTCCTCACGTTTTCCATATCGGAGTAATTGAAATTTCTCATCATTTAACTTCATATTGATGGTTAATGTCCACCTGGAGTCTTGCAGTGTCTTCAGTGGAGGACACTGTCATGCAAATTCGGGTGTCATCTGCAAAGGAAGACACGGTGCTGTGGCTTACATCCCTGTCTGCTTGACAAAGCTCCTGGAGAGCGAAACGTTGCCACAATAAAATGTCACATTAGTTGCACTTGTGTCCTTTTAATTTACATATTGTCGGTAATTCTACCAACATTATTACGATGTTAGTGCTATCGGCCTGTAGTTCTTTGCTATTGCTTTACTGCCCCCTTTGTGGAGTGAGGCTATGTCTGATGTTTTTAGCAGCTGTGGGACGACCCCTGTGTCCATCCTCCCTCTCCATAGGATGTTAAAACACATGATAGGGGTTTCTTGCAGTTCTTGATGAACACTGAGTTCCATGAGTCTGGGCCTGGGGCAGAGTGCATGGGCACATCATTTATTGCCTTTTCAAAGTCATTTGGTGTCAGGATAATATCAGACAGGTTTGAATCTACCAAATTCTGTCTCGCTCATAAAAAATTCATTTAGGTCTCAGACTCTCAGTCTGGTAAGTGGCTCGCTAAAAACCGAGTCATATTGGGACTTGAGTAACTCATTCATTTCCTCGCTGTCATCTGTGTAGGACCCATCTCATCTAAGTAGGGGTCCAATATTGGATGTTGTTCTGGACTTAGATTTAACATAAGAAATTGCTGACCTAGAAAATGTACAGAGAACCTTCACAGCGCGCATAACGGAGATAAAACACCTCAATTACTGGGAGCGCTTGAGGTTCCTAAACCTGTATTCCCTGGAACACAGGCGGGAGAGATACATGATTATATACACCTGGAAAATCCTAGAGGGACTAGTACCGAACTTGCACACGAAAATCACTCACTACGAAAGCAAAAGACTTGGCAGACGATGCAACATCTCCCCAATGAAAAGCAGGGGTGTCACTAGCACGTTAAGAGACCATACAATAAGTGTCAGGGGCCCGAGACTGTTCAACTGCCTCCCAGCATGCATAAGGGGGATTACCAACAGACCCCTGGCAGTCTTCAAGCTGGCACTGGACAAGCACCTAAAGTCGGTTCCTGACCAGCCGGGCTGTGGCTCATACGTTGGTTTGCGTGCAGCCAACAGTAACAGCCTGGTTGATCAGGCTCTGATCCACCAGGAGGCCTGGTCACAGACTGGGCCGCGGAGGCGTTGACCCCCGGAACTCTCTCCAGGTAAACTCCAGGTAAATTTCATTTATGGCTTTTAGTTCTTCCCACGTTTCTTGACTTCTGTTAGATTCCTTTAGCTTAAGTTTGATGTTTGCTATTTCTCTGACCTGTGCCTCCCTTCATATTACAGATATATTAGCCTTTTTTAGCTGTTCTGTTATTCTTTGCCTTCGCCTGTATAGGGAGCGCCTTCCTCTTTCTAGTATGACACTTGATGAATAAGATACATGTACAACACTTGAAAAGTTACATGTGTGACACTTTATGAATAAGACATGTATGACACTTGATGAATAAGATATATGTGCACCACTTGATGAATAACATATACAGTAGACTGTCGTTTAACACAGCTTTGTCTTGCACATTTTGGATATAGCATGTTTGAAGAATTGCAGCATATTTTTGTTAAACACTTCATAAAATTAATTTAACACAGTTGCGGAAGGGGAAAAATTTTGAGCGCCACCAGGCGGGATAGTCTGTGGGTTACACCATTGTGTCAACGGGGGAGACCTACCACCATGCAATCCCCCGCCTTCCTCAGCCACCCACACCCACCCACACCACCCTCCCAACCTTCACTTCAGTTCATACTCATGTAGGACGATACTCAGGAAGCTTGATGTGTTTATTTACATACATATTTTCTTATTTTCATTGCCATATGTTAAATCTGCCAAGCAGTCATAGCACTGACTTGACTGAATGACTTACTGACTTGACTGAATGACTTACTGACTTGGCTCAATGACTTACTGACTTGGCTCAATGACTTGACTGAATGACACACTGACTTGACTGAATGACACACTGACTTGACTGAATGACATACTGACTTGACTGAATGACACCGACTTGACTGAATAACTTACTGACTTTATGCACACTCCAGTACAACCATCGGCTTCAGTACCAGAATCTCTACCATCCACTTCTGCCAACAGCCAACACCCATCCACCTCAGCCCAGTAGGGCAACACCATCCATATCCATTCTCTTCACAATCATCCACAAACACCATTACCCACAATTTAAGGTAAGAAATACTATTATTTCTATTGGTTTGTAGTTTTTAAGCATTAATATACACGACAGCACTAAAATTACATATTCACTTTTTTTTTTTAAGTCTGAAGGTCTAAAATGTATTTTGGCTTTTTGGGGGCTCCAGGAATGTAACCTATTTTCCCATAAGTTCTTCAGTTCATCAAAACAGGGGCGTTTTCAGGAACGAAACTACCTGTTAAACGTCTACTGTATGTGAACACTTCAGGGAAAACTATATTTTTGAACATTTGATAAATAAGATATTTTTCAACATTTGATGACTAAGACATGTACAACACTTTGGTCCCATTCCTGCTAAAACGAATATAACATGGTATGGGTTTGGGTAGACAGAAATCCCCATGGGGGTACTACTGTTTGCAAAATGAGTGTGAAACAGAAACCTGAAACCTGCGGGTTGCCCCTCTTTTCTGTTCTTTAAACGGTGGAAACGGGTATACTTGCTACTTTTTATTACACTTATGAAACACTACACGGCATGCACATGCTTTTTATATTAAAACATAAAAAACACTAAGCTTTTCTTTTCTTAATAGTTCTTGTTTTTCTTTATTTCCTCTATTCCCATGGGGAAGTGGAAAATCTTTCCTTGGTA